AGTGATAGTTATAGACTGAATTCTAAAAATGTGTTTCGCGTAAGCCCATCTCGTGACTCGTCATTGCTTGTAAGAAAAATGTGATGTTGCTTTACACTGTAATAGTCATTCATTGAATTGTTTCAATAAAATAAAATCCATCGTTATCTACCATAAAAGTAATCAAACTAATACAATAGAATTAAAAATGTTTTACTTTTTTTTACTTCAATTACTCAGTTTAGTAATATTTATTTATATTATTATAACATTTAATAATCATGTATCCTCCTTCTTTTCTTCTAATTGAATTTCTATTATGTACAAATTAGACCGACAAGAGGCATAAAATACCTGAGTGATCTCAACATTGACGTCATCGTTAATTTAAATTAAATTCTTTATGTGTGAATTATGTTACTGTCTATAATAATAACTTAATAATATAAACAATATTTTGAATAACTTTAAATCACAAATGCTGTTTACATATTTTTATCTAACATTATTTCCTTATAAATTACATGATTCACGAACTTGACTAACAAAGTAAACTCGATTAAAATTAATATAAATTCTTTGAAGAAACGTGCACATTAATAAATAAGTAGCTAACAGCATTTTCAACAAAAGTACATTATAAAAACTGATTATATAAAATGAATACGCGGTTAAACAAAATCATTCAATTTCAATATTTTTAACTGCGATTCTCTAGCAATTCATTACGATTCATTACAATTCATTTGCATAATAATTATAATGTACATTTCGTGAAAATGATTACTTTAACGAATTGTATATTGATTTATTCACATAAATATTTATTTATAAATTTAAAGTACAAGTTTTATGAGATTGAATAGTCGAGCAGCATTTATCGATTACATCCTGTCTATGCAATAGGCTACGTCTGGCCTTGACATTAGCCTTGAAACTTTGTATGTATAATATGAGTCATCGTAATATTCTTATTTAAATTTATCAGCTTTATTTATGTTGATATAAAATATATTTTAAATTATATCAAAATATAAATTTATAAATGTATTATAAATGTACATTTGTACATATAAATGTTTTAGTAATTGTTATGAGAATTCATATACATTTACCTAGAGACAAACGAAAGTCGATAAAGACTAACTACACAATACATGGGATTTTTTATTAATTAACGGCTATTTTCAAAAATATATCTATATCTTTACATTAGGAAAATTCTATTGAAAAAAAACAAACAGAAACTTAGATATTTTTATTTTGACAAAATTCATTTATACTCAAATGATTACATAATAAATTAGTCCTTATGTTAAAAAATTGTATTTACTAAAAAATATACATTATAAATTGATTTACAATTGAATACATTGAATTTATTGTTACTTATATTTTATTATTAATAAACTATATTTTGTATATTACCACGGCAAGTAAAATATCTGTGTGAACTGAAAAATATTTTAAATATTTTTATTGTATTATATACGTATTAAAAATAAAATGTCTTGGACTTTTTTGGAATTGTAGAAAGAATTTTTGACAATTAAGTAATTATAATTTTCATAAATATAGTAAACATATTTAATTATTTAATTTATTTATACATATATTTCGTACTTTGCAATAGTTTAGAAGTTTTAAATACACTTAATAAATTAAAACCTTTCATCAGTTTATCAATTTGTATGAAATATTTTCGATATCATTTTATAATTATAATAGCAACCACTTTACACAAATTTTTTAAAGAAAATTAAAAATTAAAATATTTTTCAGACAAATTTTTAAAATAATCTTCATAAAGTAATTATCAAACAATTTCATCTTATTTAAAAGTGGCAAAATTATTAAAAATGCTCAACTATTATTTTATATGTTAACAACTTATAATTAAATTTTTAATTATAACTATACATTTAATAACAATTTAATAATTATAACAATTACATTTGTTGATTTGTGAGTAAATTTATATTAAATTAAAAGGTGCTTTAAATTTAAATACATTTTATTCTATTATTATACTAGAAAAACGTGAAAATAGACACTGGAGATGTGCATATATTCTTATTCACTATTTCTTCAATAATATTTCAATAAATCATTTTATAGAATTTTACTGCTTAACTAAAATAATTTAAGTAACTAAAAGTGTATTAGAATAATGATTTTTTAAAAATATTAAATATTTAAAAACATGGTGTAACTGGAATTGTATTTTACTTATGGAAAGTAGGATCCACCCGTATTTTTAACTCTTTCTTGATAAATTTAAAGTGAGCGATGTTCTGAATATATTTAATTTTTATAGGCATATTCTTAAAATATATAGTAAATATTTAAAATTCAAATTATAAAATTATAAACGTCGTATAATATATATATATATATATATATATATATATATATATATATATAAATAATTTATAAGTGTAGTTAATTTTAAATTTATTAAATTTTATTGGTATTACTAATTAAAATCCAGTTCACAATAGAATTATAATAATGAGAGATGTATTGTAAAAAAATATGTTTCTCAGAAAAAAATCGTTATTATGATCATTTTTTTAAATTCTTTACTTGTTAGAATATAAGAAGTATGAAATTATTTCAACAAAATAATATATAGTTATTTAATTTTGTAATAAATTTCATCTTAACTTCATCTAAAAAATATAAAAATTATACAAGTGCCAAATTTTTTCTTATTTAACGCCCTCATTAGTTTTAATATTTTTTATTAAAAATATTTCAAGTCTAATACTGTTCATATGCTTTGTAGTTCTGTGAAAATTGACTATTAGGATTGAAGTAGTTAAAACGCGTTTCCAGTTTCTTAAATATTTACATTATAAGAATAATATATAAAAATATAAATTTTATTCGTCTGAAGTAATATTTGACTGAAACATTAATTACAAATAATATTAATTAAATATGAAATAAAATACATTTGAATATTAAACTTTGCTGAAATGCTAATATGTTATATATCATACTACATACAATTTGAAATGATAAAAAAGGGTTTGGAAGTGACTATAACTAGTAAATAAAATTTTTATAAACAAATGACATTACAAATATCATTAAAATTAAAAAAAAATCATATTTATATTTAACTATTCTCAAATAATTATAGTGAAAACATAATTCTTATATTTTGTAAACTAATGATAAGAAATACTTTACAAATGCAAATGTACGCATACGAATCTCAATTAGTGACGATAATCGAATGCGATCAATGTTTAATATTTAAATTTGAAAATTTTTATACGAAATTCAAAATAGAATAAATAAAATTTATAATAAAATTCTCTTTTAACTTTATCTAGTAAATATTTCTTTCATATCAAAATCCGAAACATTCCAAATCTAATATTATATAAGTAACAGCAGTATAATTTAAGTATGAATTTATTATTTATAAAAAATTGAATATAAAATGATTATTGTTACCACTGTTTGCTATTGATCGGTTGTACAAAAATTTATTCTTTATACTATACTCTCTCTACGTGAAAATCAAATGTTTTGAGTATAATTAAGAAACATGATCAAAATTATTAAAAATTAAAGTTTATTTCTAATTTTTAATTAGAAAAGGACTAGAAATAATATGTCAATATTATTATAATCGATATACTGAAATTAAATAAAATAAATTTATAGTTGAAATAATGATACAATCAAACTGATATTTTTTAATTCACTGTTTAAAATGAAAATGTTAATATTTTATATTTAATAAAATTATTTTTAAGATAAAGTTAATTTTCTTTAAATATGTTTTGATAATTAACACATATTTCGTATTTTTTAATGTAAATTAAATATTTGTAATCATAAAATGAAGGAATAAAATATTTTCACTCACGATTATTTAAATACAATTTAAAACATAATGTGTATGTGTATGAAGGTACGTATGTAGGTATGTAAATGTATAAATATATTAAGCATTTTTAAACAGTGTAAAGTAATAAGAGAAATATTGCAGAAATGTATAAAATATATTTTTAATTAATAATAATATTAATGTTAACAAATTAAATTTAATTGGAATAAACTGATTTATTATGTCGATACTTATTGATTTTGTTTAATATATAGCAACTCAGTATTTAAAAAATATACAATTTAAATAAATTGTTAAATATTCTTTAATATTTGTAACAGCTGACATACATAATAATGCCTGTTTTTAGTTAATGATTTATTTCGCATTTCATAATTGCTTTAATAAAGTTATTAGCCTCAATTTATATACATTACAAAACATATATCATAAAATCTATATTTATAAATATTTACATAAAGATAACTTCAAAAATTATAAAAGCAACGATTGATTTAATAGGTTTTATTAATACTACAGTTACTTAATTTGGAAATTGGATAATAGGAAAAACTTTCTCATTCTATATGTCTTCGTTTAGTAAAAATACTAATTAAATTCTAAATGAAGTCAATGCTGAGATATTAAATAAATAAAAGGGTATTGGTAAAAGCGGTAGATTATTTTATTACAAATAAAGTGAAAATTGTAAAGTATAATAAAATTTTTTTTACTATTACTTTTTTTTTTTTTTTTTTTTTTTTTTGAAGAAATAATATATATATTTAAAAAATATTTATATTTGCTTGAATTTATAATTTAATAGAAATGAGCGTCGTTGCTTATGTGTACGTTCAAAATTTTATAAGATTATAGTTCGTCTTCTATTACGTAGAGCTTTCAATTTACCTCGACCAGTTAAGTTTTTCGTGCATGTTATTCACTCAGTAACTAACACCAATCCATTTGTCATTAATTCATTATAATTTTTTTTTTTTTTTTAAGAAATAATTCATAATATTTTCAGTTTGTAAACGGTAACAATTTTTATAATGTTTGAAAATGAACTTTTGAACAATAAGTTTCTTATAAATAACTCAAATATTTCGTAAAAAGTGAACATAATTCGTGCTGAAAAGTGTGAACTAAGACTGTATTATTTAAATATATAAAGATGATAAAAAAGGAGAAGCCACTGATGTCAGTAACGGCTATCATCCAAGGCACTCAAGCGCAACATTGGGCTCGAGGCAATAATTGTACGTACAAATCTTCTCTATAATTAATTAATCATTGTAAAAAAACTACAATTTCAGTACATACAATATTTTTATAAATGTTATTTAATTCTATGTAAAAGATTTAGGAATTGTCAAAATAGTTTTCATAATTGTTTTACTCCTGAATAACTTTTTTTATTTGAAACGTTATTTTTTATTTATTAGTTTTTAAAAATTGTAAAAAGACTGCGATTTTAGAAAATATATTACTATTGTTTAAATCGATTTGTTTAAACTGGAAGAAGACTATGCTCAGATGGTGAATATGATTTTGTTTACATCATATACACAACTTTAATTTTTAAAGAAAACGACAAATCCTAACTAATTTTCATTAATACTTTAAAACACTTGTAATCTAATAAATCTTATACTGTAATACTAATTAAGCAAACATAAAGTGCATAACTGCAAATATAAATACAAACGAAACTGGATTAAAATTATGACTGTGGTGTAATGAATCTATAATAAAATTTTTAAATATTAATAGAATTAATGATCTTTATTAAATAGATTGTTAATATTTTTTTATATTTATATTGTACAGATAAAAAATTATTTAATTCTAAATAGTTATAAAAATAATACTAGCTACATTAAATATAAGAAAAATCGCTTTTAGCCCAACGATCTTATACATTTTTTTATTTAATGCATTTAATAATTATACAATTTCCATATACAATTATACTAGAAAAATATAATGTTAAGAATAAAATGTTTTATAATATTCATTATTGTAACGAGTACCGCATATTAAACATTCTTATTTCATAATTCTATTTTTTTACGAATACTATTTCCTTCAAATCGTTGTCTTTAATATCACAAATTTGTACTGTGCGACATGAAAATATTGACGCACCAATAAAATGTAAAATATTTTTGCATTTTAATCGGAAATTCAAAATTACTTCGTTATAATGTCCATTAATACACTGAAAAGTAACAATAGACTCTGTTCTCCTTCTTGTTAACATCTGTGAAACCTTGGCAGACATGTAAGCTCAGTCACTAGAAAATAATCATTTTGACCAAGTACAATTTGCAGTCATATACAGAAAAAAAGATAATAGACAACTACCCATTTTTTCTTTTTCCCATCAATGTTTAGACTATTATTCATGTTTTAATTATTCAGACAAGCTGCATATATTTAAAAAATTAACTGTAAATTTGTATATTTATTCATAGATATATTAATACGCGAAAGGTTTTAATTTAATTCTACCTATTTTTCATTCGTACACAAAAAGGACCTATCGAAAGCATCCTTTTTTTTATCATAAAGCTATTTTTTAAAATGAATAAAATAAAGACATATATTTTAATAAATACAGTATATAGTATACTTTAATATTAGTACTTCATATCATCAACACAGAAACTAGCTAACATTTAATTTTTATGAAAGTATGTAATCAGATCTGAGCTATTTGATATATATTTTTTACCGAACTTCATAACTTTTCTTTTGCAATTAAAAAAAAATCATGTATATTCCTTCAAGAAATATATTTTGAATCAGTTATAAACATATTATAATAAACAATTGAAAAGATTTTAAAATTCTTCGTGTTTCATAAAAACAAAGACAAGGAAATACTCAAGTGTCAAAAGATAATTTAAGAATGAATGGAATCGATAAGAAAATAACTAGTCGGGAAGTGATTGCATTACTTATTTTAGTGATATTTAGTGATAGTGACTTATTAGTGAGACAGTACTTGGATATTTTTGTAGTATAGAAAATCAATAGATTATAATTACCAAAGATGTAAATCATTTTATGATAAATAATTAACTTTAGTTGAAAAATGACCATAATTACATTAAACAGAAATTTTTTATGTGTATTAATTCGCGTTCAATTCGTTTTCAGTAATCATTAATAATTATGTGACTTGCCGTCAAAAAGGATATTTCGCTTAAAGTGTAGTTTAATACTCTCCTAGCACATATACACAGTGGTTTGTTTGTTTAAGAAGTTTTATTACAGTTTTGTTACAGTTTTACAGTATAAATAAGTCTATTAACTTGTTCTATGATAATGTATATGGTGCTAGTGTCAACTAAATTAAAAAATTTAATTCTCAACTTCAGAAACGTAAAATATTTTTAAAATATTTTTATAATTCAATATGTTTTATAATTTAGTTTATTATATTTTAAAAATTTCCTCTATAAACAAATGTCTAAAATATGTAAATTACTCATTTTTAAGCAATATACCTATTTAATATAATTTGCAGTGATGATTTAATCAATTTCTAGATTTAATGCTTAGTCGTTTAATTCCAAATAGTATTGAAATTGTACAGAATACAAAAATAGAAATTTAAAATGGAATTATAAATGTAAGAAATTTTTATGGACAATTAATTATATAACACTATAATACAATATCTATAATTCGGTGTTTTAAATTATTATTTGGAACTAATTTTGAAAACATATATTTGTAAAAAATTATGTCGTTTCATCAAATAAAATTAAAATATGATTTTTAGTTAAAAGAACATAAGTCCCTCTCTCTCTCTCTCTCTCTCTCTCTCTCTCTCTCTCCGCCTTTCTCGATTTTTCTTCACCCTCTTACAACTGCACGTGAAGTATTTAAATTATGTAACAATCCATATCTTTATTTAGTGAAAAGACAAATATATAATAGGTATTTTATATTTTACCCGTATACATCTATAACATATATCGAGTCATTTTCATAAATAAAGATATCGAATAAAATAAATAATTGATGATATTGAGAAAAATATTTAAATAGATTAGAAGATATTTTTTGTTTTCAATATTTATTTATTGTTTTTTCCATTTAGGGGTAACTGTATTAATAAAAAGTGTATTGATAATACATGTTTATTCCATTATTTCACATCTTATACTTACTTTCACGATATACTTTAAATGCAAAGATTAATTACAAACATTTATTTCATATTTTTAGGGTTAAGCCTTGACAGTAGCAACATGTCTATGTCTTCAATTGGCCCTCAAAGTCCACTGGACATGAAACCAGACACAGCAAATTTGATAAATCCTGGCAGCTTTAGTCCTTCAGGTCCTAATAGTCCAGGGTAAGTTTATATGTGTATATATATAAACGCTAAAAATGTTTAATAAACTTTCATAGTATCAATTTCAATTTGCCAAAATGAAACATTCAATTTCCGATTTATAATCGGATACGTATTTCTACTAACATGTTTTTTTCTATTCCATATCGTTACGTTACGTCAATATAATAGAACATTCTATATAATTATAATTTTGGTACAAATGTGAATTTATATTTTTTACAAATATTAGACGAGAAGATATATTAATTTTGTTGGATCAATTTATTAATATTATTGTTGAAATATCTAATTACGAATAATCTAATTCTACACTTTCTATATTTTCTTCTATCTTTTCAATGATATTCATATAATGAATATTAATATGAATTTAAATAATAAGCATATTATGAACATATATTATGAAAAGATAATAGTCATAGAGTTTTCTTTTTATCGCTCTTGAAATAAAGCTAAGGAAACTTTGCAACAAATTTTTCGAGTAGAATATATAACTAACTTAACATAAGATTATCTGAAAACAGATATTTATGATTTTTTAATCTTGGATAATTAATAAAGTAATTCATCGTAATCGTTTCCACTATTAAGTACTACTTATTTTCATATTTTGATTATATAACGATACTATATATTATATAAAATGTCTATATTTTAAAATAAAATGTAATTGAATTTATTTTGTATTATTTAATATATTAATTATATTTTTAATGAACTTTTATCAATTACAAGTCATCGGTACCCCGACTATAATTTAAATTATTTAAAATCTATAAATGTTAGCGTTGTTACATGTAAAGAATATTTTAACTTTTACAACTGAACTATTATTTTTAATATATAAAATCAAATATTACTGTATGAATGACAAACGTACAATTAAATTGCAATTATAGTACATGGAGTAATTAACAAAATTTGTATTTGTATTTTTTTTTTTTTTTTTTTTTTTTTTTTTTTTTTTTTTTTTTTTTTTTTTATTATTATTATTATGATTAATTAATACAATTTGTATAAGTTTTCTTTGTGCGTATTTATAACATTTATTCAATTTTGTTTGAATTTTCATAATATTCTAAATTTATTATTTTGTAAGTAACATCTGTAGTTATAAATTAACCATAAGATATAAAGTAACTATATATTCTAAAGATAATTAATTATTTTTTAAAACGGAAATCAGAGTCATTTTAGCTTCCAACTTTTATTTTGACTTTTGCGGATATTTTGTTAGTATTTTGATTAAAATTACTTTTATAACTTGACGTTTTATAATATTTTTTACAGTAACATTAGTACAAAAATATATTTTGTATATTATAAAACAAAATGTAAGAGAAAAAATCGTGCATACCAACGCATATTTCAATTAAAAATAAAATAATAAAGCATTTATTATAGTTCGCATACGATAATTAGTATTACAAAATTTAAATTTTGCAATTTTTCAATGTGTAAGTGTAATTTTATATTTTAAAATTACATTTTATACACACTTTTTATTCACTTCATGGAATTCATGGTATTACTTTCTTTTTGTTTTTTTCATGCAAGATTCTATGATTAAAATATTAAATAGATAATGATGAAAGTAATGTATGCTTAAAACATGTGTGTTATTAAAATAGATATTTATTAATTACACGTACTGATTTACCTATTAACATTGTTGTTTACGTAATATTAATAAATTATTTATTTTAACTACCTGTAAATAATGTTATATTGAATTTTTATTTTGAGAAAACATTTTAATGAAATTTTTCAAGTATTTAAATTTTGAAAAATGATAGTACTCAAAATACTATGAAAAATTAAAATAAAATTTAACCAAGTGTATATAATATAAACAAAAAAATATAATATAATATAAATTAAGATTAAGATTGATATTATAAGTTTCAAGTTACAATTAAGTTATTAATGTGAAAAAATTAAATAATTAAATTAATTAAATTTAATCAAATATAAATTAAATTATAATTTTATGTAATTATTAAAATAAAAATATAAATAAAACGAGAATTTCAAGAGCTACAGAAAGAATATTGAATCTATCAAGTTAAAACTAATCGTATTTAAAAAAATCCCTTTATTTAAAGTAAGTTTTGATAATTTGAAATAGCAATAATAGAACAATTGAAAAATAATTTAAAAATAAATTTAATGAATCCGAAATACTTTGATCATTAGCAATTAAATTTATTAATTTTACAAATATACTTATAGTAATATATCGATGATTTTTAAACTACAAAATAATTTTCGTCAAATAGTATAAACGTACTTACAAATAAATATGTTTTTATCAGTATTTTACCCATATACCACTTAAATGCTTACATTTCATTGAAAATAAAAATTTTAATTCGACATGTACATTTTCTCCGTTAAATTAATTATTTCTATATATTAAAGTTTATTTGTTTGCTGTTGCTTTAATAGATCCTTGAACATTAGTTGTCCAAGCAGTATGATCAGCACATCACCGGGTGGTCAGAGTAAGAGTGGTGCGGCTTCGCCTTATCCTCCTAATCATCCGCTTTCGGGTAGTAAGCATCTTTGCTCGATTTGTGGTGATCGGGCGAGTGGAAAGCATTATGGTGTATATAGGTATGTTTTATCAATCATAAAATTGAAATTGTGTAAAATATGCACCAATTGATATATTGATTGAATAATTTTATAAATTGCTAAAATAAGAGACGTTTATTGTTGAGCAATAATATTATTAGTAGCTTATGACGACCTTCAATGGTTCTATGCATGCTAGTCTTGATAAATCGAGCATTACTTCTATGTATGATTGTTTGTTTAAAAAATATTAACCTATTAAAGTTTGAAACAAAAGAACTATTCAGTAATTGTAATTTGTATATTTCTATTAAATCGTAATAATTAACTTTGAAATATTTGTAAAAATTTATGACGTTTATGGATAAATTATTATAAATATTAATATATATATATATATATATATATATAATATAATATTTCATAACATTACTCTATGTATTTATGTATTTTCTTTATTATTGTATAAAATTAAATAGATTATTAAAATTCTATGAACTTCATAATATACCAACTTATTACTTTCAAAAATAAATTGTTACTCCTATTTTATTCAATTCTTTATATATTTTTCAAATTCAAATACTTACCATCGTGTAAATAATATCATAAATATTAACTTAATATATATGTATATAAACTATAGAAAAGATTCAAAAATACATAATTAACACATTATGTGTGATTATTTAATATATATATATATATATATATATATATATATATTGATTTTTAGAATAAAATTTTCTGATATAATATATACAGCTCTCTTTTTCATATTAAATAATCATTTATTGAAAAAAATTCCAATTGTAAAATACGTATTTATGATATAATTATAAAAATTTTACGCAGTGTAGAAAAATTCAGTGAGAAAACTTATTTAATTCCTTAAAACATTTAGTAACAAACATTTAATTTAATTAAATAATCAGCTCAGAAACATAGATTTAGAAAAATGTGCCTATTCATTAATTTGTTTTATTTTATAATAAAAAGCTATTGTGTAATTATTAATTTACTTAGAACAAATTTTCTCTTGTATTCGCAATTAAATGAATTTTGTCAATATATTGAAAATTTAGTTTATGCATCGAATAAACGAATTTTTTATTTGTAAATTAAATTTTTTGTCTTTAACAATTTAAATTATAAGTATATTTTACATTGTACATTATCGAATTCTCGTTTTAAATTACATGATGTTCAATTGTTAAAAAAATCCTTAATACGATCACTTTTTATTAAAGAGTTTTATCATTAACCTATTATAGCATGCGAATAACAATACAATTTTATTAGCTTTATTTATGATTATAAATGTTATTTAAATTTAATAATTTCATAGAGAGCGTAATATTCGATGAATTTTTAATTGAATAGAAGTAAATTATTGAAAAGCACTTATTAATATTTAGATTTTAAACAACGAATTCGCTATGTTGAACTGCATTTGCCCAATTACATTTGACATACACGTGTGCATAAAACTTTAAAATTGACTATTAAGTTGTTCGTAATCAATATGTTTGTAATAATCAAGTTTTCGATTAAAGATTCAAGTACAAATAAAATAAATATATTTTTTTCATTGTATCATATCAAATATTTATTATTAATTTTCTCTTTTTGTAAAAGAAATTGTTTTGGTTGCTATATAGATGCTGGATATTAAAAATACATTTGAAATATAAAAATGCGTTGCATGAAAAGAGAAACTTATTCTCCAAGAAAAAAAATGACGTTGCCTAAGCAAAGATTTTTTTCACGTAACGACTAATAAAAGGTGTTACAACAATGGAATAAATGAAGGTAATCGAGCTGACCTAAATTTACAATCAGTATAGAAGTATATACAAGAAGTATTTACATAATATATAAAAATGTTTCTTTTTCGTTTGCCAAAAGTGATTATATAATTATGTAATATTTTTTTTCATTCCTAAAAGTCTGTTTCATTATTTGAAAACAGAGCGTCCAATGAAAAATTCGACAAAAACTGATATGATCAGACCAATATGATCAGTATTTTCCATTGGAAAAATTTGAATTTAGACGTAGACGATAAGAGAGCCTTGTATTGCGTTCAGTTTATAATTGCATCAGGGCTCCGATACGAGCTTTACGACTTAATTATCGCAAGCGTTTCCATTAATGGGATGGCAAGCGATCTCTCATCATATTATCTACAATGCTCATCGTGTCGTGTATTACGCCTGCGACTGATCCATGTGTTCGTTTGCTTTTCAGCTGCGAGGGCTGCAAGGGCTTCTTTAAGCGCACGGTACGCAAGGACCTGACTTACGCTTGCAGAGAAGAGAAGCGCTGCTTAATCGACAAGCGCCAACGCAACCGTTGCCAATATTGCCGCTACCAAAAATGCCTGACAATGGGCATGAAGCGCGAGGCCGTGCAGGAGGAACGACAGCGTACCAAGGAGCGGGAGCGCGAGGCCGCAGGCCCTGGGACAGGCGCGGCCGCGGGTCCCGAGGCCGTCGAAAGCTGCACGAGCAGCTCCCATGCGGACATGCCCGTTGAGTTGATCCTCGAAGCTGAGAAGCGCTTCGAGTACCTTGCGGAGAAGCAAAGCTCGTACGAGCAATTCGGCAGCCACGGCAATAAGCAGATGCGCCACATGGTCGAGTGGGCCAAGCGTCTGCCCCAATTCACGAGCCTGCCGCTCGAGGATCAGGCTCTCTTGCTACGCGCCGGTTGGAACGAGCTGCTTATAGCGGCCTTTTCCCATCGCTCGATCGACGTCGAAGACGGCATTGTCCTTACGACGGGTCTCACTCTCCACAAGAATTCGGCTCAGCAAGCTGGTGTTGGCGCCATCTTCGAACGCGTCCTCTCGGAGCTCGTCTCCAAAATGAAGAATATGAAGATGGACAAGGCGGAGCTCGGCTGCCTTCGGGCTATCATTCTTTTTAATCCAGAGGTCAGAGGCCTTAAGGCACCTCAGGAGGTCGACCTACTGCGGGAGAAAGTGTACGCAGCCCTAGACGAATACACGCGGCTGCATTGCCCGGATGAACCTGGACGTTTCGCTAAGCTTCTGCTGAGGCTGCCGGCATTACGCTCTATTGGCCTCAAGTGCGCCGAGCACCTATTCTTTTTTCGACTGCTGGGCGACGCACCCCTCGATGATCTCCTCACCGACATGCTCGAGGCGCCCTCGGATTCGTAGTTTATCACCCGAGACGATGCTTACCTACCCTCTGCCTATCCGTCAGCGTCATCCCGCAGCTACGCTCTCCCGTCCGACTGTCCGCTCCTCGCGCTCCATTTCACTTTCCCACTGCTCGCCGCCTCACCACATTAAAATTCTATTACGATTCTATGCTCCGGATCTACCGGCCTCTCAATCTTCAATAATCGCTGTCACAAGCTGATGCAATGCTAAATTTGATATTGACGCCCATAGTCAATGAAACGCTTAATGACTCGGTCGCCCATTAAACGTCAAGTCATATTATCATATAATTTATTGTTTTATTTAACTTCAAACCGTTTAATGACAAGTCTTTTATTTCGTTATAGTTCCCAGATATCTTATCGATATGAACTGAGAATTAAAACCTGGTAGCTTCTCTTTAGCCGGTTAAAAGAGAAAAAATATTTAACTCGAGAATAATGGAAAGCAATGTATAAACTATTAATGATAATACATTTATTATTTTTTATTAAAATTGAGTAATCATGCAATATATTATTAAAAAAAAAAAATTTGTTTTTGTTTTTAAAATACGTTATAAAATATTTATGTATATTAGATAATTTAATATTATATTATGTAACTGCGTTAAAAATGCTTTTAAAATTTATGCCCACCAACTTATATTCTACACAAAACAAATCATTCGAATCAATTTTAAGTTAATTATTGATTTTTATGGTGTTTAAAATTCACTCCAGTAGTCGCTTATGCTTTGTAATAACATAAATCTGTGCATAATACTACACGGAAACCATAAGAACTATCTAATGTTATAAATCTAAAAAAAATTCTATAAACGTACTAATAACTTTGTAAATTTAGAACTGTACTGTGATCTTAAGTTTTCATGTGAAATTTAACATTTTAGAAATATTTAATATTCATTAAAAGAATTTGATAATTGTTAAATGTTCATTTGGAATATTTGTCTCATGCAAAAAAAAAAATAAATTTAATATTTTCATAATTATAATTTTTAATTACACAATGCTATTCAAATTATGATGCATTTTAATTGTTTCTTTTATAATTTTTACTTTCAAACTTTTTTGCAATATATTATTTTTATATTCTTTTTACTTATAGATTATAACTATATTATCTTTATTAAATGTTCAATTATTCAATATAAAAAATTATGATTTTTACTTATATTTTACTTATGCGTATACTTGAATTACCTATAACTTTACCCTGCGTCTATTGTTTTAAAGGTAATTTTTTTTTTAATATCTTTATTGAAACGTGGTATTTATATTTGATTCAACTTGAAATGTTTTATCTATTATTTTCAAATATAATTAAAAATTCTATACCTATGTCCAATAATATAATAAAATTGTTGCAATAACAATAGTTAATGCACGGGCGGGCTCCTGTATGTCATGTATGACTGGATATACGATGTAATACCTTAAACCTAAAACACGATTCTACTTAAATTCTAGCATATTTCCTTACTAGATTAAATATTTGATAAAAATTTAATTGCTAGTAAATTTTCTTAATACTTTTATATGTAAATTTAAATTTTTTTTTAATTTCATATAAAAATGTTATAGAAAGGAATAATATACATTTTCCGACATACCATGAATATAAAGCTGAGTATTAAAATTTCATTTAAGTTTTTGGTTATTAATCATACTTTACATATTATCTTTGATTTTTCTCTCTTTTTTCGTATGATAATGTTTCATGCATACGGCTACTGTCTGTCTTGTATCACAGATTTGTTGAAATTAACCTTTTATAATCACTCTATACATTTTTATTATTTATTCATGCTGCTTTTGTACTGTGTATAAATTTGTAAAAATTCAACCTTTCTATAACTTGAAGTAAAATATAGTCATTTCTGACAGGACCAGCTTTATAGGTTTCATAAATATATAGTTTTTACATTTTTCCAATAGCCACCAGCGAACATGAATGTTGTCAAAAAGAGCACATATAATATATTTTTAGACTCCAAAATTCTAAATATGTTACTATGAAGCGTGAAAAGAAGGGAGAGGAATAAAGTTTGTCCGTAGAGAAAGTGAGCGTAAAAATAAAAGCAAGAGAAATATTGAGTCAGCTTTTGTCCTGAATATACATAGTTACATATTTGCATCTATACTTTTGTCAATGTAGTAGCTTCATTGTAAATAATAATGTATAAATACTGTATTATATATATATATATATATATATATATATATATATATATATATATATATAATGCATGTTTAAAAATTGAAATATGTTCTTAAGGATTTGTTATTATTTGATGTAGCACATGTTTCTAAATTTATCAAAATTTATGTGATATTACTATTTCAGTTTGTATTTTTATATTCAAATCTATTCGATGTTATTTTGTAATGGAGAAATTATTTATATCGTTAATACTCACACAATTTGTATTTATATCCTTCAGAAGATACTTTATTTTTATTTAAATTTGATTATTTGAGTTTTTATTTCTATAGATAAATTTAAATATTCAATTGATTTTCAATAATATATTTGGAAGATCATTTATAAATACTACTATAATTTTATTATTCCATTCTTTATTCAATTCTTTATTAATTAACAGTTTGTTGTTATAAATTAAAATAATATAAATTAAAATAAATTTTAATAATAGATTGTTATAATAATTCAAAACATTAAAATGTTGTCAAAATAATACATAAAGTACCAAAACAAACTAAAATTGTAAAAAGCAATATAATGTATCGTAATTGTAAAACAATTATATCATCTATATGTATATATATAATTGTATATAATCTATTATGTTTAAAAATATATATAAATAGATGATTTCAAGAAGAAAAAAAATTTATATACCGTGTAGATTATCATACACAGTCTATTGTTATCTATCTAGAATCTTAAGAAAAACTTTGTGCAATGAGTTGCTCTACTGAATTCATTGCTAAGTTATTCTAAACCGATCTTGCCTTATAA